CGGGCTCTTTCTGCCCGGCGGCGGCGCGGCCCAGAAGCTGAGGGGGGGGGATGTCTTCGGGGGATCCCGAGGGGAAAAAACAGCAATAAATGTTCAGCCCAGTTCAGATAAGCCGGCTGCCCCTCCTGAGCCAAGCTATAGTCTTAGCGTGGGGCTCGCTTTACAGCCAAGTGGCCTTTCAGACTCTGCTGGTCAGGAGCTGCATCAGCGTAACGCAGCCAGCCGGCTCCCGAAGCCAGCACCGCAGCACCGGTGAGGGCTGTGAGGGCTCCAGGTGAATGTTGTGATTACAAACATTTGTGTTTGTTACTGTTTTAGTTTTTAAATCTACTGTGGCAAGATCTACTAAGCGAATATGCTGTATGTTTACCTTCCAGAGAGCTTAAGCCAACGGTTCTCAGCGATGGTGTCCATCCTCGCACAGGACATTTAATCCCTTTACAGCTGCCATGGTTTTCTTGCAGGCTGGCTATTACACGGTTTCAATGCTGGACAACTTCAAAAGCTTAAAAGAAAATGTTTTTTTTGTATGCGCAGCTGGGCTATATGTCATCATCAGCCAGTTTCTGCAACAATTCACATGAAACCTGGCTCTTTTGAGGGTTGTTTGTTAAACCAAAGGCTATTATTACACAAAAGGTTAGTCAGCACATCCCAAACATTTTAAGAACGAAATAAAATCCATTTTTGTTTAAATAGCACCACTTTGTGGTCAGTTCTGGTAAGTGATGTTTTCCTACACCCAGTCGTGCTGGAAGCAATGCTGAAATTGTTTGAAATGGGGAGGAAACTTTGCTCATCTCCGCCGAATATCAAATACTTTTGGAAGTATCAGGTCTGATTTGAAATATGAAGTGTGTTCAGCAAAAGGGAATTAAATTTCTGTGTTGCTAGTAATTTCTACTTAGCACTTAAAATTACGCTTGTGCTTTTCACAGAGCTAAGGTTTTGACTGGGGTGACTGGTTAAACCGACTGGTACGCAAATGATAGTGAATTTATCACACTTCTGTTCAAAGGTGCATAATGTATTTGCACTTGAACAACTTGCTTATCTCAATGTGCAATGTATAAGAAGTTTCAAACATTTTTTTATCTTTTTATTTTTTAATTAAGCTACTTTTAAACCAATATTCAGTAATAAATCATTGTTATAAAACTATATATGACACTCAGCTGTATTATTAAGAACACATACAATTTGTCTCACTGTGCATATAGCTAATATATACAGTCCACAGAAAAATTCCACAGTTTGTAGCCTTATGCACCGTCTGTACTTGGTTACATATAGATTCTGATGCAAATATTAGATAGAAAGAGGTATATGTACTCGAAATGTCTCTGTGCATGTCTCAGGAGGATTTTGCTGTGACTGTTCTTGTCACCTGGAAGTCTTTCATTTCTGATTGAGCAGTATTCCATGAAAACAAACAAAAAGATCTGTCTATAAATGTGCTTGTAAATTGAACATCTTTCCTGCAGTAAAGGTTACAGATCTATTCAACTCATCTCAGTCTCCTTCTGAGCAGATAAAATCTATGTTTACTCCTAACAGTTGTTTTCATTATTAAATAGTGTGAAGAAAAGCTGTACTTGTGAAAGAACTGGTCCATGGTTTGTGTCCTAACTTAAGCCAGCATACAAACTGACCAGACTGAAAGGTATACTTTATTTACTGGGAAGATTAGTATTTCTATTTTTCCTTTGAAGTCGTTGTTAGATAAAAATTATAGTTATTGTACTTTCAGAGACACTTCCCCTACTATTCTAGAGTTACAGCTCTTTTCCCCTTTCCTTTTTCTTTTTTTTTAATGAAAGAGAACTAGATGTGAAGACCCAAAACAGCACATAGAGCTAAGCCATTAATTTACATAAAAGGCTGGGCTGGTTAGGCTTTTAATTGCCTTGTCAGTGGTGTGTGAGATAGAGCATGTTTTAAACACTTTAATTTATAAAAGCACTTGTATGTATCAGTAGTACAAATTATTATTTTCGGTCAAATCTGGCAAACAGGGCAAGATCTGAATGTATATGAACATAAATAAAGTCAAAGAATAAGGTATGCCATCTTTATTTAGAGGAAGTAGCAGAGTACTAGGTTTTTCTGTGAGCTCTTCCATTCAAATACCTGCTTATTTCATGGCGGAAAACATGATTTTTACTTGTATCTGCTGTTTGGCAATTTATGAAGTCCTATTCATACAGAAAAAAATACTAAAATAATGTTGAATCATATGCAGGTTGGATGAGAATATTTTTAATACCTGCCTTTACTGCCTTGGGAGTGTATCTAGGTTTTTTCCTGTTTTCCTTTGTTTTTCGTGTTGAAAAATATGAATGCGCGAAATGTGATTAGCAATACAGACTAAATAATACTGCACAGGAGTAAAGCATATGTTCATTGGGATGGTTTGTCTCCTTTCATTTTATTTCACAGTAGCATTATTCTGACACATGCTATGAATCAGAGCATAGCTATAATTTTTCTTTGCTGTTATCAGGCTTCTGGCTATTAAAATGATTAATCTGCTTGTTAATGTAACTTCAGTTTCTTATTGTAACCTACTCTGCAAACACTCATCTGTTCACAGCGCAAAAAAATTTAAGTAGCTTGTGCGATAAGATTTAAGAATTGTCGTTTTATCAGATGCTTGTACTGACGTCTCCCATTTTGGCTGTGAATTTCAGTGTGGAGTTTTCCTGTGATGCTTGTTGCTGGGGAGCAATCAACCTGTTCATGGTATAGTAATATTTCTGAAACGTAGTAACCCATTAAACAGGCCTCTCCGTCTGCCTTTTACAAGCAAGGGGAGCAGGATGCTTGCATGTTGTACTGGCAGTAAGTTTGCTGACGTAGGTACGCAAGTGGAAAGTTTCCCAATATTAGATCTGGTTGAAGACATCTAAAATTGCTATGATTGCTCATTTGGTGTTTCATAATCAAAAGATTCTGCTAGAGAGAGGGAGGGGGAGGGAATCGTTTGCAATGCATCTAAGACCGCCAAATGCTTGCCAGTTAAACTTTGGATTGAGTTATCCACATCTCCATGGTATTTTCATTCTACTGGTCTGTAAATTAGCCTTGTACAGAGCATGACCTTTTGAGAAATTGTTGTATAATGGAACATTTTCTCTTCAAATTGAGCTGTTTCATCATGACTGATCACGCTAGCTATTTGAGGATTTTTCTCCTTTGCCTGGCTGAATCTTACTCAGGAGGTGGGCTCGAAAAGCCACTAGAGCTCTGAATCCCTCAGAAAAATGTTGTCATTTCAGGAGCAGTAACTTTTGAAAAGAATATAGAAACATTAAAGTATGTCTCCAAGGACTAACATTGTATTTTGCAAAGAGATCCATATGAACTCTGAAGCAGCTAGAATATTTTCATCAGCAAGAAACAGCTCAGCTGAGAACTATTGTGTTTATTAGCGCGAGCAGAAACCCCACTAACAAAGCTATATTACTTCTTATGTTTATCTCTTCATGGGACTGTAAGCTGGGTATGTCTACCCTCAGGCAATTTAAAAATTCTTATTTTTCAAGCTATGGAGTATTTGTCCAAGGTATCATGACCAGAACAATGAGACTGGCCATGTCATTGGCTAGGCAAAAGGTTTATATTTAATTTGCTGTATTTATTGTACATGATACAACATCAGCTGGCTTCTTTTAAGTACTGCTTGCCAGGGACCTACTTGAAGAGACTTTTGTTAAGTGATGTTCCACCCTACTTCCAATATATTGAGTGCATTGCATTTACTGAACTACAAAGTTCTGTCATCGCCCACAGGCACTGACACAAAATCATTGTGGGTGGGGCGTGGTCCTATTTATAAAGGGTGGAAACCAGGTCAGTGTCTCTCTTGTTTACTGATCTGTTTAAACTCTGGTTTCCATGAATACCCGTGCTTGAGATTTTGAAATTTGCTTTTTGTTAGCAAATTTTGTATATAAAAAGCAATTGCATGATTGTCTGTAGGGGAAAAAAAAAAAAAGCCCTATACTGCCTGACTTTAGCTGACTTTGACTGTGGGGGTTGTTCAAGCATACAGTCCTGCCGGTGTGAACCTGCTGCTCCTGAAACTGAAATGCAACATTTTTGCACGACCTCTTGTGAACCCAGCTCATTCTGTTTCTTCCCACTTTCGGGCTAACTATAGATAGTGCTTAGGGTTGCCTTTTCTTCCCTGTTCAGCCTTGCCTGCATCGTGATCCTTATCTTCTATTGCCTATGTGCATCAATCATTGCCAGTTAAGTCACTTCTCTCCTTTTGCATTTTACTTCCATATGATGATAATGTGAAGACAGAAAACAGACTGTTCCCTTAGTTTTCCATAGTGGAAATATCTGCTTCAGTCTCTTGGAGCAAAGTAGTGTCGTTTACAAGTAACGCTAGAGATGCATGTCAGTCCATCTTCAAACCTTTGCTAAAATTGCTTGTTAAAAGCTATATCCCACTGGACGCGCATCAGAAGTTTATTTGTGGTAGTCAAGGTTTAGAGATAAAGAAATGTTAGAGGTCATAATACTTTACTTTGGTTAAAATTAATCTGTATGTTACATAAAATGAACTGTTAAGAAACAGGAACAGAAACCGACTTATGTATTTATACCACAAAACATGAATCAGTTAAATATTTCTGGCATAACAAAAAGGAACATGATGAGAATCTTTTGTCCTAAGGGGAAACGAACATGTGTATTGTAATTGTTTTTAACATTTTCTGCCACCATTCCACTATTTATGGTTCTGACTTGGATGACCTTACTCCGGCAGTGTATTTATGTCAGACATCACGGCCTGCAGAAAATATTTTATACGTCTGAAG